GAGTTGAAGTCCACAAGTCTTAAAGTTGCCAAGTTTGAGGACCTCTGGTTTAGAGCAATCAGACACCATCAGATAACTGTTCCGTTGTCTTGTCCCAAAGGTATTTGGACTTTCTTTGTTTTTCCTTAATGATGTTTCACTTCTCATCTAAGAAGCTTCTTCACTTCTGACTGAATGGTGGAGAATGGAAGAATTTATATATCCTTGCAGTTGGTCATTAGTTGTTTTTTTCTGGTGACCTCAGTGACTCTCAGAAAGAGTCCTAATGAGCAGATGACGGCAAGGAATATAAATCCCTCCATTCTCCACCATTCAGTCAGAACCAAAGAAGCTTCTTGGATGAAAAGCGAAACATCTTCAAGGAAAAAACAAAGTCCAGTTGCCTTTTGAAAAAGCACCTTTGGGACAACCAGGATTGTTTGGATGACTGAGAATCTCCGTAGACATTCCTTTGTCTTGGTTTATGAGGAATGTAGGTAGTGCAGTCATGCTTGCTTGGCCAGGCCTTGTTGAACAGGCCCATAGAAACTCATCTTTAAAGTTGATAAAAGTCCTGGGTTTTCCATTTGTAACCATTTTTGTGTGTGTACTATCTCCTTTTATTTCTTCTTCCCCCCCCCCCCCCCCCCCCCCACCAAAAAACAAAAAAAAAAAGACTACAAGTCTTTTACATGTGAGGAGTGTGGCAAAGAATTCACCAAAGGATACTTGTTGAAAAAGCATCAGGAAGTGCATGTGAACGAACGGCGGTTCCGTTGTGGGGAGTGTGGCAAGCTGTATAAGACAATTGCACATGTGAAGGGGCACAGGCGAGTGCATTCTGACGAGCGGCCGTATCCTTGCCCCAAATGCGGGAAGAGGTACAAGACCAAGGTAGGAGCTTCGTACCTTTGGGGATCCCTGTTTCCTAAGACTTTGTGTGTTTGAGCCTTAACTGTTGCTGAACCTGTCTATCTTAGATGTTAGTCTGTCTTAGTATTGATATCATAGCCCTGATCAACTGATTTCTATCAGAAAGCAGAAGCGGGAATCTCATGAAAGTGGTGACTGTTTTGGACTGTACTCCTGTAGTCTGACCAACTCCCCACTCAATAAGAAAATTATGGCCATTTCATGATGCATCGGGTTTTTTAGACATACCTGTCTGTCTATCTGTCTATCCATCTACCCATCCTTCCACCCATAAAAACCCAAAGGGTGCTCGGCGATACCTGTTCCAGCAAGATTATTTGCACTTGCTCCAGAAAGTTAGGAAGTTTCTGGCCTGAAACTGAATTGCATTTTTTTTTTGGTGCGGGTTTAGGAAGGGAATATATCGGTTTTTAAAAATCAGTTTTGGAAAACCAGCAGTTGTGTGATGGATTTCAAAGATCAGTCATTGTGCAGGGTGCCAAGATGTCCGACTGCCTGGGCAGCGTTTATTCTTTTATACCATTTTTGCAAGCAAGGAAGAGTAACATATATACAGTATTTGGATTGGAGAATAGATCCCACATGGGTGCAACCTCCCAACCAATCCTTAATACTAGTGGTGATGTTAATAAATGAGATCACCTATATGTCTGGAAAGTCCGGGACTTCCCACCTTCACCAAGATATAGGGAATGAAATCATGCAAGTAGCCAAGAGGCCCCATATAGGTTTTAAACACTGTAGTTTGCTGCTAGCATCTAGCGCCATCCATAGGATCTCAGTAGCTACTACAGTTGTGGTATTCAAGCTGACTCACACGGTCCTCTTTCCCACAGAATGCACAGCAGGTTCATTTCCGAACGCACCTGGACGAAAAGCCGTTCGTCTGCCAGTTCTGTAACCAAGGCTTTCGGGAAAAGGGCTCTTTGGTGCGCCACATCCGTCACCACACGGGCGAGAAGCCATTCAAGTGTTACAAATGCGGCCGTGGGTTTGCGGAGCATGGCACCCTCAATCGGCACCTGAGGACCAAAGGTGAGATGGAGGATGGCTTGTCTCAGAGATAGGTGTGTGTGCTCCTACTTCTCCCCTGGCTTCCAGTAGAGAAGCTGGGTTCGTTGCCCTTCCGTCTGTCTCTGTCCCCTGATCTCTTTCAAGTGCTACGGAGCTGCTGCTATGAAGCATTTTTAGTCCCAGGGGAAGGTAAGTAAAGAGGCTTTGAAGATGTGGAAAAATCTTGAGCCTTACTTACTATGTTAATGCACAGCAAAATATTTAGATTTTTTTTTTTAAAAAAAAAAGTTAATTTGCATATAGCAATGCAATAAATCTGGTGTGCCTTGATACAGATGACTTGACTTACAACCATTCACTTAATGGCCATTTGAAGTTTCAAAAGACTGAAAAAAGTGACTTAGGTTTCCACACTTAATGACTGACTCTGGTCACGTGATCAAATTTTGAGTGCCTAACCATTGGCCCATGTTTGTGCCAGTTGCACTGCCCTGGGGAGATGCGGATCACCATTTCTAACCTTCTCAACTGGCCTCCAGGAAGCAAAGTCAATGGGGGAGGCCAGGCTCACCTAAGAACGGTTAAGTGATTAAGTGATAAGTAATTCACTGTTAAGCAGTGGTTGCTTAACAACCGTGGCAAAAAAAAGTTGTAAAATGGGACCTAACTCGTTTAAATGTCTTGCTTATTTTTTGGAAATTTTGGATGCCGTTGTGATCATAATTCGAGGACTATCTATATGGAATGACTTAACGGTCCTGATAATAATAATAATAAACTATTAAGTCGAAGACCAGCAATAGACAAAATTATCACTATTTACAATAGTGTTATTACTACTACTACTAATAATAAATAATAAGGTCCATAATAATAAAATACATAGTATCAAACAATATGGCTCTTGCCCTTGGTTATATGATGGGAGAGCGGGTAAGTTTGTGTGTGTAAATATAAGATTCTCTAAAAATTGTTAGAGATATCCACAAGAAATTGGTGCAGTAAACATCTTTTAATTCTGTATTGGATTTTCCTTGTGGTCGTTGCAGCTGCACAGAATTTTGCTACGCCACGCGTGATAGCCGGGTTTGAGTCCCAGAGGAGATAATCTACATAAAAATTGTCCATCCTCCCTGGTAATCTTTCTAATAAGGGGAGAATATGCCTTGACCTAAAAACTCTTAACTTACAGTGCAATAAAACATGCGTGATATCTTCGATTTCTCCTTTACCACATGACTTAAGGGTCCAGTTATTTAGGTAAGCAGCTCTTCTGCACATTGACGTTGACCTTAATGGGGAAAATCCTTCCTGCTGTTCTTTTAATTGCTGCTGAGCTGTCTGTTTTCCTCCAACTTCCCCAGGTGGCTGCCTCCTTGCCTTGAAAGAAGCTGAAGAAGCAGTGGGGTCAGAGGAGGGCCAGTCGGCTGACCGTTTGGCTGCGACAGTCATTTCGGAAGATCCCCCTACGGTCCTGGTGGAGTTTTCCTCAGTGGTGGCAGATACACAGGAATACATAATTGAGGTAAGCACGTCTCCCCGGGGAAGCCCTTTGAAAGCGATTAATATCCCAGCACTGGAGGCCTAACGTGGGCCAAGAACTGTGGAGACCCACCGTGCACCCTCCTGGACAAGATTAGGAAGTGCCTAAGGACTGGGCCTGCCGAGGAGGGGGCCGCAGCCCTGAAGTGTCTCTGAACGGCTGTGCGTTCTTTCTTAAAGACAGCTGCTGAAGACCTGGAAACCAGCGAAGCTGCTGAGATCATCGAAGGAACCAGGCACGAGGTGGGTTGCTCTTCAGGAGGCTTTCTAACGATCGCTGTTTTCAGCGCTTCAAGGAGCCAATCCTTCCCCCAAGTGCTAAATCCCCAAGCCACAGGACCTCCATAGGCAAACAGAGCGTGGCATGAATTTGGCTCTGCTAAGTCCAGTGAGCTAATCTCTAGCTTAGTCTCTTCACCCACCAGCTTGCGGTAGGTATAGGGACGTCTGCCGCCAGCCACTTTCCTTCGAGGAAATTCCTTTCTGCCCCGGTTTATTTCAGGAGCCAGCTGAAGCTGGATGGCCAGTACATTTAAATTTTTTTTAATAATAACTGGACAGAAAGAGGCACATTAAAAGGCTGATTCCAGGATGTTTCTCCTTTATCGTTAAGAATTCAAGCCTTAATAAATGTAATAATCTGGGATGAAGAATTAGAAGGGAATCGAGGGTGAAGGGAAAAGGTAAATGGTTGCTCCTGAAGTGGCTAATCTCATCACCCGTCCCTTCCCGGCCCCCCAATCCTGGATCTCACACAATGCAGTCACACAACAAAGTTTCAAGATTGAGATTTCTGGTCCTCAAGTTGGATATCCCTTCTTATTTGGCCTGGCTCTCAGAAATGGAATTGCATCTCATTCACTGCATTTCAGATTGTGTGGGAGTGTCTTGGAAGATGAATAATATTAGGGAATAGGAAATTATTTTTGCTCCGAGGTCTCCGGTTTCTCCTTTAGTGTGAGGCAAACCTAATAAACTGGACTGAGAGTTTCTACTTTAGAATTGCCCTGACAGAAATAATGAATCCTTTGTTGATTAGCTACATTTCAGTTGAATGTGGTGCTGAGACTGAGGTGGAGCCCCTTTCCTGTTTTTAGGGTTGAACAAGAGGGTCAGTATTGATGGCCTGGGATCCAAAAATGCACTGCAAGTTCAGCCTTAGAGCCACTGCTTGTGTGTGGACTGGCTTTCCTCCACAGTGAAGATTTTAAACTGCACTAAGTAGCAAGATGTAACCCTGCTCCGAAGTGCTGGGTCTCAATGCACAGGATAAGCAAAGACAAACGTACCTTGCAGATAACTAACAATTTGAATTGGTCTCTCCACACATCACCCTTTGTGAAGCGTGCAAACCAGCGTCTGCATTTCCTGCGAGCACATCTTTCTCCTTCTGTTCTGGCCACTTTTTACAGAGCCACGGTTGAGAGGTTTTTTTTTTTTTTTTAACAAACTGCATCACTGTTTGGTTTGGTGGCAGCAGTGCCTCAGATAGAAAGTCCCTACAGAGAGTGGTAAGGACAGTGGAGATTATAGGAAGCCCGCTTTGCATTATTCAGGATGCTGCTTATAAGCACTCTGTGCTTAGAGCTCTAAGCATTGTTAGGGACCCCACACACCCAGTTTAGGGTCTCTTTCTCTTGCTCCCCTCTGGGAGGAGGTTTCAAAGTATTTCTAGCAGGACTACCAGATTCTGGTAACAGCTTTGTTCCCTATGCCATCAGTTTTCTCTCTGTACATGTGTACACCCAAACTAGAATGTGTTGTTGCTGTGTCATATATGTGGGTACATTCATAATGTATTATTCATTCATTCATTCTGCCGTGGTTATGTAGTGTATATTGGAGGTGGTGACCCTTTGACAGCTGTATTCCACTAAATTTCATTTTAACACATGCCGATTAATGTGCATTCAAAGTGACAATAAAGTTATTCTAAGTTGCTTTTTTCCCCCCTGTGCAGGTGGACAGTCACATAATGAAAGTGGTTCAACAGATAGTAAACCAAGCCAATTCTGGCCATCAGATAATTGTCCAGAATGTCACGGTGGCAGATGACTCAACCATGACAGCAGAGGGCGTGGACCCCGACACAATTGCCATAGCAACTCCGGAGAGCCTGACCGAGCAAGTCGCTATGACCCTGGCTTCAGCAATTGGGGAAGGGGCTGTGCTGACCACGGAGGGCGGGGGGGAGGTGGAGGAAGCCACCGTCACCATGGTGGCATCCGAAGACATTGAGATAATGGAGCACACGGGGGAGTTTGTGATCGCAGCCCACGAGGAGGATGACGACCTAGAAGTTCAGGCTGTGATTGTCTAGGGCGCCGGGAGGGGGAGGAGAAGCTTTTCAGAGTGGCAGCCTGGCTGCACCCAGGTCCCAGGTCACGTGACGTCGCCCCAAGAGCCAGTTTGTGTGCTGCTTCTCACGCCGTGTTCACTGAGCAAGTGATGAATGAACAAGTGGCCACGTGTTCTGGTCAGGGAGAGTACCTGGCTCTTCTGGGTGTGGCAACCAGGCAGTTGTCGAGTAAAGCACTTTAGAGTAAAAAAAATATTGCGTGCAGGGATACTTAATGACGTGGCAGTGAGAGGTTCCCACGTGTGGGAGGAAACTCGGCTTGCTTTTTTTCATAGGAATGTGGGTTTTATCATTTTAGAAAACCAGTGGCTTTATTTGCATTGCCAGAATACTCAGAAAGGCCACACTGTACATTTTTGCAACCATGTAGCTTTTAATTATCTATTGTCTGATTTAACTTGTAAATATTTTTTTAAACAAAACACTTTTTTATATTATTGTATTCTGATGTAATTAAAGGAGAGTGCTGAAGGCTTCAAATGTATCAGTGGTTATTTCTCTCCCAGGAATGTCTGTCGGTGTAGCAGGAAAAGGAATTGTGCAAGAGGCCTCAAACAGAAATTTAGCCCTTATAATTTAAGGATGGGAGGGACCCAACCATAGAATTGTCTTCTTAGAAGTTTCAAATACCCACATAATGCAGTTCAGGGCTTTGCATAGTTCCAGTTACCTGCAGAACTAGCTCTGGAGTGGGCCTTGCTGGTAATTTGCAGCAGGAAATGAAATAGACGTAGGCCTCCACTCACGTCACCAAAAATATGTAATAATTTATAAAATATGTAGTAATAACAATACAGACAAGCATTCATCATATAACACTCCAAGACTTAACCGTAAAAATCCATAAAAAGACAAGTATAGAGGAGATGGCAGTATTTGGAGACGGCGGACTAGGAGAGAGAGAACTGGAGAAAATACAAAGGCACGCAAATAAAAAAAACAGAAGGAGAAACGAAGGAGAACGAAGATAGTCCCAACAGTAATAGGCACCTTGAGTGCAATCCCAAAACCTCCAGAACAACACTTGGAACATGATTGACAAAAGTCCCACCAGTCAATTGCAAAAGGCAGCTTGACTCAGAACGGCTTAAATCCCGCAATGAGATCTTTTAACACCCTCAAACAACATCTGCTTTTCCCAGGTCCTTGGGAAGTGCTCAATAGGTGGATAAAAATGCCAAATTGTGTCTATAAACAAACTGCCACCAATCACACCACCACAATAACAATGCATCGCCTCCTCCCCAGGGCTTTTTAGCAGGCAAACTTTTAAAAGTGCAAACAAAAATAGCACTGGGTGCGCACATTAACAAATCTAATACCTTAACTCATTTTCCGCTTCTGAATAGTCTAGTAGACAATAAAAACTTCATTCCATGAAAAGTTAAGTTTGTAAGGCGCAAACTCTTGTTTTGCCAGCTCCACAGGGGCAAGGCTTCACTTCCTTTTCTTCACAGGACTCGTCAGAGGCCTCACAATTTCTGCCAGATTGGCCCAGACTCCTTTGGAGTAGATATTTCTATAGCCTTCCTGTCTGCTGTATTGCTCTGAGTATGAGTGCGTATATCTTGCTGATTTAAACCATTCGTTGCTCGTCTGGTTGGTCAGTACAAGGTACAGGATGAAGCAGAAATAGGAGCCCAGTATGACCAACAGAAGGATGACAAAACCCAGCATGAATACAATTCTAGGAAAGGTCAGGAAAAGTTGCTGCGAAGAGAAGGGGAGAAAGAGTTAAAATCCAGGTGCTCAGGATCTCCAGGTACACACCCCCCCCTAGTAATTCTGGCAAGTAATTCTTTCTGGCAACCTCATTTACAAAATCTGAGTTAGAAGAGACCCCAGAGCTCATGTAGCTTAGCCTTCTGCTGAAGCAGTTTGGTCATATGGCTATCTCCTGTGAGGAAACATCACACAATGGTTCTATTGGTTGAGAGCTTTTATGACAGAACTGCCCTCAAGATTGATGGTGATGAAAAAGTAAGCAAAATCATTTACAACCAATTCCCACAACACTGCCAAACTACTAAGACTGTATGGACTGTTGTTATATGGATGGTTTCCTAGTATGATTTGATTGCTTATTGTACTCTATGACTATTATTAAGTGTTGTACCTGATGATTCTTGACTTTCGATGAATGTATCTTTTATATATACAAAGAGTATTTTCACTAAGACAAATTCCTTGTGTGTCCAATCACACTTGGCCAATAAAAGAATTCTATTCTAATTCTATTCTGTATTACTATTCCCAATCCTTCCTATTACCTATCTTCTTTTCTACTTACGACTATATCCTTGTCGCTTGAATCTTTATGATTTATATTGTTTTATTTAGTCTCATATGGCTTTGATTGCTTATTTAATATCCTATGATTATCACTGTGTTGTATCTTATTATTCATGATGACTATGAACATGATTTATCACTTACATCTTTTATGTACACTTACGCACCGAAGACAAATTCCTTGTGTGTCCAATCACATTTGGCCAATAAAGAATTCTATTCTATTCTAAACCATTTAATGTCCTATTAATATTTTCATGTAGTCTCCGAGACACAGACATGACTTCAATCCACTCTATACCCTCACAGGCTTCTGAAACCCAGCTCTGTATCCCCTCCCTCCTCGTGAAAAATGCACGAGTCAGCAGTTAGTCAATATTTACCTGAATCAGGAAGAAGGTATCAACTGGATGCTCTTGACCTTGGTCATCAGTATAATGTCCCAATGTAAGATTTGACAAAAGGACCACCTGGATGAGAAAGCTGGCCGTTACAGCTGCAACAGAAGCAGCCATGGAGGTCAAAGTCAGCAGGTAGCAAAGGAAGAACCGGATGTTGAAGGCGCCAATGCAGTTGTTGACCCAAACACAGTGATGATCAAAACGATGCACGCAGCCACGGCACACACCTGAGCAGAGAATGGAAGAGGGTCAACATGTTAAGAAATCATAACCAAGTCAAAAGCCAAATATGGCAGCATTTTGATCTATGGCAGGGGTGTCGAACTCAAGGGCCGTGGGCTGGATCCAGCCCACAGGGTGCTTAGATCTGGCCCATGGGGCCACCAGGACCGGCCTGCGGTGCCTCTGCCAGTGAAAATGGAGCTCGGGAGGGCAAATGCTAAATCGAGACTCTTACCGCAGTGCCTGGATCGGGCTGGCTTTCTCACTGCGCAGGTAGGGCATTCAGCATCTTGTTGAAACATCAGACCGTCGTATGCATATGCATGAAGAAAGAGAAGCTGGTTGGATTTGGTGATGATACCTTGTGGGGAAAAGCAAAGATTCTTACTATGCCTTACAATCAGGGCTGCAAGGTCTTGGCTGTTGTAAGATTTCCTTCCTGTCATGTGCCTGAAGCACTATAACGTTAACCTTGAGGGTTCAGATCAGAGACACCCTAGAGCAGGGCCCCACAAACTTAGCAACTTTAAGACTTGTGGACTTCAACTCCCAGAATTCTCCAGCCAGCAAAGCTGGCTGGAGAATTCTGGAAGTTGAAGTCCACAAGTCTTAAAGTTGCCAAGTTTGGGGACCCCTACATTATACCAATGGGGCAGTTTTTTCCTTCCTTTCTTTTGTGAATTAATGTTTCCTCATTTAGTGATATTCCACTGAATTATGGCATAAATGATTCATGTAAATCAGAGGTCTTGTGGACTTCGACTCCCAGAATTCCTCCTCCAGACAGACTTTGCCTTTCTCCAGTTTCTTTCACAACCAACGGAGCCCACTCCCACTCCCTGTCACCTGTTCGGCCTCCCCCTACGAATCAGATTCAGACAGGGGCGTGACACTTATGGACTTCAACTTCCAGAATTCTGGGAGTTGAAGTCCACAAGTCTTAAAGTTGCCAAGTTTGGGCACCCCTGCCCTAGAGATAAAATCCAGTTTTCCTCTGAAGCAAATTTCTCCTCCTCTGTACATCTGTGGGCTGTTCTTCACATCCCTTAACTGCATCACAGATATGCCCAGCTAACTGCTTTTTTGCATTATGCCTCCATCTGATTCACTTAACAACTGTGGCAAGAAAGGTTGTTAAATGGGACAGAACTCACTTAACAAATGTCTCACTTAGCAAGAGGAATTTTGGGCTGAATTATGGTCAAGGACTACCTGTATATCAGCAATCCGGCCTCTTAAGTCATACATACACCGGGTTATCTGAGGGAACGTCTCTTGCCGGTCACATCTACCTGACTCTGCGGGTCCCACCCCTGAGGGAGATACACCTGGTGGTACCCAGAAGAAGGGCCTTCTCTGTGATGGCTCCCTCTCTCTGAAACATCATCACCCCCCTCCCCCCTCCCCTGAGATTAGAACGGCCCCCACTCTAGCACTCTTCCAAAAGGCACTGAAGACCTGGTTTTGCCAGCGGGTCTGGGGAACCCAGAGAGGGATGGAGCCCATCAAATGGCTAGTGTGATCTGCTATCATCAGGGCGGGAGGTGGGAGTTGATCCCCCCCCCCCAAATTTTATTCTATTGTACTTTACAAATTTATTTGATTCTTTTTGTTACTTTTTATTGTTTTTTATTTTTATTTTTTGTTTTAAATATGGTTTTACATTGTGTAAACCGCCTCAAGTCACCATGGGTGAATAGGCGGCAATATAAATTAAATAAATAAATAAGACTCCAATAAGATTCAAGCCTTGAGGTTAAGGTTCTACTGGCGTGGAAAGAGAACAAGCTCAACCCAAACCATCACTTGCCCAGTGCACAGCCAGCTGGCAGGCAGTGGGGCAACATCAACCGCCCAGGATAGGGCCAGTGTCTCAAGAGCTGAGACTGCAAGGAAAACGGCCTCACCTGGGTTACTCCTGGAGCAGAGGATGAAGAAAGCTGCATTCACAGCCAACAGGAGATAAGGAAGAAAGAGGATGAGCCTGCTGAACTGCAGCTCTTGGCAGTAGCTGAAGACTTCCCAGGTATACTCGCCATAAACCAGCCCTTCCAAGATCAAGTGCAAGACCACAAAGAAAGAATTTCTGCAGCAAGGAGAGAATGAGATGCATTTCTTCTCCCTGCTTTGAAGGGAAAGGGGACTGCCTCTGACCGGAGATGGCATATCAGGCCTCAAAACATGTTCTGTGGGTTACAATCCTAACTCGGAATTCAATACAGACACCTTAGGTGAATTCATCTCGCCTGGCAGCTGCCTTTGCACAGCAGGCCAAGGTGGGTTCTGCTTTTTGTAGGTTTAGGGTGGCGTAATTATTAATTTCTTTGGCTTGCATCCTTTCCAAAGACCATCCCCTTAGAAGCATCCAAATGTAGGAATTCTGCTGAGACTGGGTGGCCCAAAGAATTAGAAGGTGACCTAGGATCATAGAATGACTGCCATTCTGTGAGCCGCGGTGGCGCAGTGGTGAGAGCGCAGTACTGCAGGCTACTTCTGCTGACTGCCAGCAGTTCGGCAGTTCGAGTCCCACCAGGCTCAAGGTTGACTCCGCTTTCCATCCTTCCCAGGAGGGTAAAAATGAGGACCTAGATTGTTGGGGGAAAGAGGCTGACTCTGTAAACCACTTAGAGAGGGCTGGAAAGCACAATGAAGCGGTATATAAATCTGTGCTGTTGCTATTCTGTTCTAAGTGAAGAAGCTTGGTGAGGAAGGGCCTCTTTTGTTCCACAGCTGCTCTGGGAGCAGCAAACAGGAGGCTGGGAGGGTCCAGGAGCTCCTGAGAGGATGTTGTGGGAATGCTGAATGTACTACAAATATGTGCCAGGCTTCTTGCCAACACAGAAGCAATTTCTTTCTAACAACTCAAAGATCCTGAAGAAAGGGGACAATAGTCCAGCAGACCTCACCCCAAACAAAATGTAAAGATCAATGTGATACCACAAAATTGTAGGGAATATAAAACTAGGAGGTAAGTATGCAGAAGGGACGTTGCAAA